AAGGTGGTACTACCGTCTTTCTATCATGTGTGTCAGACTGCCGATATGTACTAAAACATTGTAGAAATATACATGACCATGAAGTAGTGATGTGGTTCCAATAACAAATGCTAAATGATATTACTTTTGCATTCAGATTGTAATCATAAAACTTTATACAAAGAAATACCTATGTTTTGCCTAACAAATTTACGACACCGATAAGTGAAATGGGCAATTGCAATACCTGATACCCAAATGTGAATCTAAGCAGAAATAATATTCAAAGTTGAAAATGTACAATTATAATCAAAGCATGGAGACTGTTAACAAACCTTGGTGCCAAACTGTGTTGAACCCTGTCTATCTTTCCTATGGAAAACTGTCGGATTGATATTGGTTCACCAATATACATGTGAATATTGCCAAAATCTTCATTGAGTATACTGCTAGCTTTCAGCAATCCCTATGAGAAAGAATGTCACATTTGTGCTGTAAGTAATGGCATCAAATAAAAAAATGAAAACAAACTTTTCACTCTGCCTTTCAAATACTAAGATAAATTGAAAGAAAAAAATGTTGTTTGCTTTAGTTTGACACACACGCACACACACACACACACACACACACACACACACACACACACACACACACACACACAAACACACGCACACACACACACACACACACCCTTCACTACAAAAATACCACTGATCAAAGTTATCCAATGTTCTTACCGAGGTGGACTCTTTTGGCTTTGGAACTCCCAACAACTCATAGGAGTACAGGCTCTCCTCCAGTGTTCTATCATAGCTGATACTTATAGGAAGCACCATAATGTCAGGGACATGGGCCTTGAAGTAGGGTTCCAGGCAAGCCTTCATCATTCCTGGAAATCATTGATGAAACATTATATTAATATTCAACAAGGTTAGTCCATCCCTGGGCTTTGTCCATTACGTCATCGTATACTACTCAGAACACATAAGGACAGAATAATCTTACCTCAATAAGAGAATTACATTAATTGTTTCCAAACCGGTTGCCTTATGGTTAAAAACTTTGACTTCTCTGACAGACACCTCAATCAAATAAAAAAAAATTATTTCCTGCTGCATAAGAGACACTTACCCAGCTTTGGCACCAAAGATTTTCCTGTTCTGCTCCTTGTCCCTTCCACAAAGAACTCCACAGGTGCATCACCATTGGTAATGTGTGTTTGTACATACTCGGTGAACACTGACCAATATAACTTGTCAGTACCAAAGGTTCTGCGGATGTAAAATGCACCAGAGTTTCTGAGAAGCCAACCAACAAAATTCATACCCATGAAATCTGAAAATGTTTGGATAAAACCGGTCACATCCATTGCAGTAACCAAATAAAAACTGATTTTTTGTTTGTGAAATACATCAATGCTTTGCATCAGTCATTAAATAATTGAAGCAAAGTTTTATAATGTAAGCAGGGAAAAATTATGCCTTTTACATCAATTATATTCTTATTACCCAATGCTTTTCATTCCTGTTTAATTTCCACTCTCAAAACCATACAGGTTTGTTTTGTTAGTCTTCACAAAAAGAGTAAATATGTATTGAAAAGATAAACAAATACAGTAAATAAATCTACTGGAGTTTATGGCAAAATTTACCCATGGCGGCTGCAATAACTGGCAGAGGTAGATCATAGTGATAGAACACGTAGGACATCAAGAGGAAGTCTGCATAACTTCTGTGACTTGGCATTAATATGACTGGATATTCTTTTATCAAATGCTGCACCTAGTAAAATAACCAATTAGAAAACAAATTAAAAGCAACATTGTACTGTACTTGAAAATGTATTTAGAAATGAAAGGGTATTTCCAGGACAATAACCACTCACTTTTTTTAATCTCAAATCATAAACAAAAAATGTTCCCCTTCATTAAGTTCATTGCTTCCTTTTTCTAGATTACTATTCTTTTTATTTGCAAGATATACCGGTACAGAAACTTTTGATTTCATGCTTACTCTTGAAATTCCTTCTTTGTTGACATAAACCCTGTTGTACATTTTTTTCATTACTTTTGGCAAGACAGTGGCAATTCCCCTTATGGCTCCCATCCGTAGATTGTGCGCCATTTCATCTAGAATTGCATTAGCTTCTTTCTCCACTTCTGCTTTGGGCATGCCTGTCTCAGAGGCAACCTATTAATAATAATAATGGTACATTGAATAATGTTCCACCTGTCAGCTTTTACAGTGGAACACTACATCCAGTACAAAAGTTATGGTCAAATTTCTACGGGTATATTTCAAAATTGCAGATTTTCAGAGAACCATTTCTAGCATGTTCACCTGTTCAATAGTGAAGGTCACCCTGTCACTTTTCCTGACATATTCCTTGATCTGTGCTGATGTTCTTGGGTGATTATATTTGTATGCTGGCACCTCCCGTGACCTTATGGCAAATCTTAGGTCACTATTTCCTCTTCTGTCCTCCAATATATCCTCGTATCCATCCTTGAACACAGGGAATGGAGGGAGCTTGTGGGGATCATCTGGTGAATACAGTAGCCATTATTTTCTAAATTACAAATTTGTGGTCTCTTTTCTTTAACTTAGAATTTACGTTGTCATATACCTAATATATGGTGTCATAAAAATGAATATCTGAAAACAAGATATTTTTTGTCATTTTTTTTTTATGATGGAGGTATGCGTTCATGAGAATCAAACATCATTTTCACAGAAGTCATATATTTCACTTACTTATACGTAATTTATAAGATGTGCAAAAAGTCATCTTTGAAATTGTGTTGACCAAGAAGAGTTTAGCACTAATTTTCGTTACAGTCTTTTTCAATATCATGACACAACACTTTCACACAATAATGTAAATTTAAAAGGGTTTTGGATAAATTAATGATTGTGAGAAATTATTCAAGGATAAAAAGCATTTTCATCAGTAGATGTCTGTCATATTTTTGATCAAATGTCTTCAATTATTTAATTCTCGGTCTCCGAGAAATGCCAAAAATACTGAATCCTCGAGCTGGACATGATGTGTAGAAAGATGGGTCATCATCTGGAAAAGTCAGTGGCCTAGATGGTAATAAAAAACATTGAATTAGGCCTTAAAATGGGATTTTCTGTTTTCTAATCAATTAAATTAAAAGATATATATAACACCAAATAATACAATTTCTAAATTATTTAAGAAAAAAATTACTAGAATTTGTATGGAAAATTAAGTAAAAAAGAATATATATATTCTTGAAATAGATTATTACATATACAGGTAACTGTTCACAACAGAAAATATTAATCGTTAAACGGTATGCACACTAAGATGCCAAAATTATAAAATTACAGCCTTAAATGGACATTTCAAACAAGACCTTTTTGCCCAAATTTAACTAAGATTTTAAACTCTTTTCTGTAACCCGTTTTGTACGCTGTTACATGAAGAGTGTACAAGGTCCCATATCCCTCATAAAAGTCAATTCATGCCAAATCAAGTCAAAGCTGGCTGACATACTGAACAAATACAGGATTAAATGCAGTTTAAAAGGTGAAAAAACTGATGTTCAGGCATCTTGCAACAAAAGGAAATACATACAAGTATCAAAGCAATATCAACTTGAAGAACTATTAAGCTTGTAGTACATTTAAACATGTTGAAAAGCGAGTATAATACACTGAATGTACATCCTTTTAAATAATCTGAATAAATCTATATCTGTTTAGGGTCCACTTTCATTGTCACTCTACATTACAAAGTCATGTGAACTCACAGCTAAAACTTTTTCATTCTCTCATGTAAAAAAAAGAAGAGTAGTAGACATTAGGAAAAGAGTGAAAATGATGATAACTAAATGGTTGGATGTCCTAAAATAGTTTATGGCTGGGAATTCTGTATCATAAGAATGAACAAAAAGGTGTAGATTTATTCAGATTAAATCTGACCTAACCATACAAACCAAAATGATGCCAGTTGGTAAAGCAAGCCATTCTTCTCTTACAAACTGTAGCAGGTTAAATAAACAAATAAACTAAGCACTATAGATCTATATCTACATGTACCCTGTAGTAGTAAGGTGCTTGTACAATGTACTACTAGTAGAAGTAAATGTTAATATGTTATTTTGAACCAAAGAGAAATGACTGAGTATGTATAAAAAAGCAAAGAACGATGGTGTAGAAAAAATCTAATAACAAAAAATATTTTGCTATTTACTTGAAAAATTAAAGCCGTAAAAGTGGATTTATATCAGTCAAAAACTAGGGTCAGTAAGTTACAACAACTGCAGTATCGCGTTACATTTTACAAAAGCGTACTGCCGCAAAGTAGATTTGGTTAGCACAATGTCTATGCTTGCCTTTGTAAGCAGAGTAAAAATTAATTAATTTACAGCTGAGTAATTAGAGCAAGAAGTACTTGCCTTCCTTTATCCAAGAGTTCCTTGATTGTTCTTCTCTACTGGCTGCCATCGTTATATTTTCACTTTGGCTTCAGTTACCCTTTGGCTCAAATAAAAAAAATGCTGGTGAATCTTAACACCGCTTTGATATCGTATGTGTTCAGAAAAAAATACTTTGAGTATTCAAGTCAACAGTCTTGTCATTTTCGCTACACAAATGGTATTCAAGATTTAATAGTCATCCTTAGAGACAGCATACACAACTGGCCGGTGCCGCCTGCCTTGGTGGATTGAATCGCCTTATTACTTGACTAGTTCCCAAAACTTCTTAGCAAAATCCTAATCACTAAACATTTTACTGTGTCCCTTATCACATTATGGTACCATAAGTAAAATAGTAAATCTAAAACTAATATTATCTATGCAATAATGTTTAGTAATTGATGGTTACTTTACTAACAACCGGTTGCATTTCTTTATTATTACGAGAACCAAGCAAAGAGAGCTCTTTTTTGAGTGAAGTCCGAGTATCAACATGAGTTGACATGTGTGGAAGTTAAACTGTCTATATGTATATTATTGATAATTGATAATCTTGCGTGTGTGCGTTTCAGTAATGCATCTATCGTGGATTGTCATAACATTTTCTTTATTTTTAGCGGGGCCAACAAATTCAAAGAAAAAAGATTTGTTGGTAAGTGCATGTTAAATGCTTTTGACTGATTACTGTTTACTTACATTAACGTGGACACATACAGTATACCTAACCAATTTATGATATTTTTATTTTTATGGTAGACAGGTTTGGTATTTTTAAGTTGTTTTATATGGCTTTTTAGATTATTCAGTCAAGGATATAGCTTAGTTTTTTTGTTTTTTGTTTTTGTTTTTTCTCTCCATTGATAAGCTCGAACAGGGCAAATGGAAATGACTGCATGTATCAATATGTTATGACAATCATACTAATGAACTTGCAAACAAGATGTCGAGGCTGTCCCCAGAAGTGGGTACATTTGCACAAAAACATCGCAATATTCGCAGCTTTATCGCACACATGCAATCATGATTTTGGTGCTCTATTAATCATGCTTTTAAAATCACTCCCAAGTTTTAATTGAGGACATCCATTTCTTATGAATGTCAGCTCACCATGTATTTACGTTACAGAAATCCTCCACAGATTTGTTAGAAAAGGAAAGCAAACGTCTGAAATCTTCCAAATCTGGTTGTTCACTTAAAGCAATAAATGCAAGAGCAATAGATTATCTAAGGATCAATAATGAGGTAAGTTGAAAATTTCGACAAACCTTTTAAAGGGGATTTTAGGTAAAATTTCATTCAAGAAAAATCAACTTTAAGAGTATTAATTTTTCCTTAAGTCAGATTAAAGAGCCTTTGCAGTTCATTAAATACCAGAAGTTTTTTTTTTCTAGTGTGAAAAAGCCATTCCCTGTTTAATCCAAGTCCTGCAGGAGTCTGGCTCACAGACTGACAGCTGGTTGTGGGCATCTTTGGGCCATGTGTATCAAAACTTGCAAAAGACAGCACTGGCTACCAGCAGCTTCAAGCAAGCCTCAAAACTCCTAGGGAAAGTCAGCAGCTTTATTAAAGAATGGCATTTCCTTGGGCCATTCGTCATTGGAAAGATGGAAGTTGATGGAGACCCTGTGGCAGCTATGGGAGGAATTGCAAATGTCTCAGCAAACAGATATAAAAAAGGATGGAAAATGTTCTCTGAATTGATCTCTGATGGTGAGGTGAAATGGCAGACACATATACAGAAAGCTCCAGGTCAGATATTACAGATCTCTCCGGATGTCAAATGGGGAGAGTTGGTCAACTCACTGGGGTCTGTGGGCATCACAGAGTGGCAGGGTTGGCTGGTTGGGGAGTTTGCTGTGACAGAGAATGGTCAGAATATATTATTACAATGTGAAGGTGTAAATACAGTATTAGTGGATGGGTTGCCCATTGTTGGGGATGTTTATCACAGAGAAAATTTTTGGTTTTCTGTTCAGTTGGAGAGAGGAATACATTCAATATATATAAGGTTGAGAACTAAAGCTGTCCAGAATGTCAAGTGTGAGATCAAGATAACAACATCAAGTTTTGATATTTTAAAGCCTCACTTCTTGCCTGATTTAATTGACGGGTATCTGTTTACTGGTTACATTCCACTGCCTATTGTTAACACACATTCTACTAAATGGTTAAAAAATATAAAAATAACAGTACAAGAACAGTCTGATGGGTCAGACCTGTCTGTGGCCAGTCCCCACATTCCATATGACATTGCACCTGGACAGGCCATGCCTATTGTGATAAAACTCATTTCAAATGAAGCTGAAATTGTTGAGGAATGTATTGATGTCATGTTGAAACTCAAAGTGTCAACCTCTGAGGGACAGCTTCTATATCCAATCACTCTGCGGTGTAGGAGACAGAGAGAGTCCTTCTTGTTTACTTTTGTGGACCACGATGGTTCAGTCCAGCATGCAGCTGCCATACAACCTCTACGAGATTGTGAGGGAGGAGTATGTCCTGTGTTGCTCACATTACATGGCACTACTGTCCCTCCACAGAACCAGGCTGACAGCTATAAAAGGATGAGCAATGGCAAGTTTATATTTGGACTGGAGAAAGCATGGGTCTTGGCACCAACAAGGTATTGTTTGAATCTTAACAAAATTATATTTCATGTTTATAAGTTCACTTTTGTACAAATTTGGTATCATAAACTGCCATCCTAGAGTGAATTAACTAATGAAAATTTAATTTAATTCTGTATGAACCTTTATGTATAAACTGGATGAGATACATAAAGCAATTTTATAAATTATTCATGTGCAAATAGAGACAACTGGTGCCATTTTATTTGCATTCCATATCTCTCAGTGTGTATTTTCCAAGTTTATTTTTGAGACTCAAAAATGCAAAGCAAGTACAATATATATAATATGTAAAGTATATATACTTCACATACACATTCAATTGACAAAAGGTTGAATTTATATATGGCAACTTACTACCTCAGGGCTGGACCATATTGAAATAAAGGATTCATATATTAATTATTGTTGCCTGTGTTTAATATCACCTTCAGTGTATCCTATTCCATCCTCACTAGTATAATCTGGCATACTTCAGACATGGTGCTCACAACTGGGAAGGACCTGGTGCTCTGACTGCAATGACAGCTCTCAACCAACTGGAAGAGCTGCTGAAGGGCTCAAAGATATTCAGAAACCTTGCTAGCAAGAACCATGTTATATTTGCAGGTTAGAAAATAATTGCAATACAAATAAGATAAATATATTCTTTATGTATTTTTGAAGCAGTGTCAGATACAGTATATCCACCTACACTATGCAAGTAATTTCCATATAGATTTAAATATAAATTCTTAGTCAAAGGGCATGTATGATATGAATGTGAACCAAACAGCTGAGTCTTTCAGTCCTCTGGCTATGGTGTCCAGTAAATAAATGAAAGTATCTCCAACACTGAGGGTTTTTTTTTTTTTTTTTTTTTTTTTTTTTTTTTTTTTTTTTTTTTTTTTTTTTTTTTTTTTTTTTTTTTTTTTTCTTTTTTGTTTTTTTTTTTTTTTTTTTTTTTTTTTTTTTTTTTTTTTTTTTTTTTTTGTAATTTATTATGCCAGTGATATTGTAGTTTAGGAATGATATTTCAAATGGAGTTGTTTTAGTGCAATGTTGATGAGAAAAATTTAGTAGTTACATTAATTGATAATACAATTTGATGATTGTACATATTAATAATGTCATATTTTGACGAGACTCTCTTTGTTGAAATATAAGTTAATTAATTGTGATAGTTGATAAAGGACAAGGAATGTTTAATGTTATTTCTATTTTCATTTTTAACCTTTTTTTATTGAAATACAAGTATTTTCATTTTAATTTGAACAACTTATTTGCCCCATCTGTAGGTCACTCTATGGGAGGTCACGGAGCCTGGCATTTGTCCACACATTTCCCTGACCATGCCCTGGCTGTGATATCTCTGGCTGGGTGGATTAAGAAGGAAGAGTATGGAGATAGCAACTTGTTCTTTAGGTAAAGAGTCTGCTATGTTAGCCACCAGTTCAAAAAAATATTAGTACATGATTCAGCAGCAGACTTAGACTAGTAAAAAAAATAATTCCAGTGTTACTTCATTTTCTTATTTTCTTATGTGGATATGCATTGTCCCACAGTGGGGCATATATGAAAGCTTGTTAGTGAAGAATTTTGCCCATGTTGGATCTGAAACTCAGACTAAGTTCGACCAGACTGGCAATTTTTGTTGGTTGTTTTAGATTATTTGCCCTGTTATCTAGATTTACAGATCTTATATTTTGATTAGTTTAGTTTAATTCAGACTAGTAGAAAGGCCTACCAGACTGTGTGACTAAGCAGGCCAAAATTTTGATGTTAAGAGTAGTAAATATTGATTGGCATTTGTTATGTGGTGTATGCCATTATCTATATTCTTTCTGTATGTATGATTTTAAAAGGCTGAAATCTCTTGATGTTGAAATTACTCCATCTGAATACACAATACCTTGCCTTCCAGTCGTACAGTGACTGGGTGAGTGAACATGTCAACATTGTAATTGTGGATCACATGGTTATTTTAATTTAAATAATTTCAAATTTTTTCATTTATTTCTCTAAACTGCAGACATGATATTGCCACCAGTCACGTGGACGCAGCAGTGAAGTCTGTGATGGAAGCATGTATAAGTGAGAATGATGCTGACAGACATGCATCAAATCTCAAGGTGTGAAATTATGACATGTTCTTAAAATGAATGGCAGAGCTTTTTTTCTGTAGATTGCAGATCAGTATTTGAAGCACAGTTGATATATGTCAGTTGAGACAAATATATTGCCTGGTTGTTAAAAATGTGAATTGTTTTTAGCCATTGCAAACATGATACATCAAGAATGAACATAGAATTTAAAAAGATTTTTTTACATGTCTAAATCTTACTGTGCTTTAGAGATATTAGTTACACTGAAATGAACATGGGCTCCGAATTTATTTGAAAAAAGGGTGTTCCTGTGCTCCTCCGTATAGGCGCCATGGATAAAACTGTGCATCCATATTTTGTTCGGCGTATGTACAGGATTCTCCAGGAGTGGGGAGTGGCAGTAGAATACAAGGAAATACCAGGCAAAGAACACTGGTGGTGGGATACACGGTAAAGAAATGGTTTTGTTTTGATTCATTTATTCATGCTAATTATCTATGTATGTTTTGGCTGAAGAGAATATAAAATTGTTAGAGCTTGTTATTATCTTACAAGCTATTAGTTGACTATTTTGTGGTCATACCCACAACTTTAACCTGCGAATACTGATTTAATGAAGAAAGATACTTTGAGACATAAGAAACATTTCAGCATTTGTCTAATTTAAGTGGTCATTTTTCGTGTTGGTAAACAAATACATTTATATTTACAGGGAGACAAATGATGGTGGGGCTGTCAATGACAAACAGCTCAGGGATTTCACATCAAAGTATGCATCAATACCAATACCTGAAGAGGGAAGCACATGTACTGCTGATAGCTGCAGTACAGTGGGATCTGGAAATAAATACACAGCAACAGCATCTGGACCAGATTCTTTTACATACACTGTTCTCAACCCTGCTTTTGGGGGCTCAATGAGAGGAATACAGATTCTGCTTCAAGTCACACCTTTCAGGACAAGTAAAATCCAGGTATTGGTTATGTAATTTTTAAACATATGATATGAACATTAAATTAGTCTATTTAGCTTAATTGCCATTGGTATTCTTTATCATTTAGAATAACAACTCGTATCAAACAATTATATATTGAGTTATTTGAAATGGTACAACAGCTTCATTCTCATTTACAATATTGTATGAAATCTTATAGGTAGATATAATTAAAGATTCTTCCATAATGATGAAGACAAGCAATGTGAAAGCATTTTCTATTAGAAGATCAGAAAACAGACCTATTCAGTGGCATATTTATCAGGAGATTTTGGTAAGTTTTGCTTTTTCTTCTCTTTAAAAAGCAATCTCTTTTGTTTCTATAACATTCACACATAGTTTGATACAACAGTTTTTTTTATTTAAGACCCTCAGTAGTTTTTAAGGTAACTTGAACTGAACAATGTAATGTTGATCTTTCTAAGTGTAACCTCTCTGCTTTTTAAATTTACAAGTTACATAATTTTTTTCCATAAAATGGACTAAGCCATAAAAATACTATTGCAATTTGAAGCATAAACAGGAATAAAAAGAAGGAAAATAGATTATCTGAATGACGGTGAACAGTAATTAAATCATATTATCTAAAAAATCTCAAATGCTATCAGAAACCAGAGAAATTATGAAATTTTTCAGTTTAATGTAAGTCTATTTTACTACTGTTTTATTGCACATTCAGAATTTCAAAATCAAAATTTTAGTATGAACATGCTTTCTTTAGTTTGCATGTCATATAATTGTCACTTTTTACCATATCAGATAGATAATACTGCAGTGAACTTGGCTGGACAGGAATGTTTGGAACAGATATTTGTACTTGAAGAAGAACAAGGTGGAGTATAGTTTAAACAGTCATTGATGATATTTGTTATGTAAACAAAACTTGATGCAGAAATAACATTTTCAGGCTTGATGGAACTGCATGTTCTTGTTCCTTTCAGTCAATTTAAAAAAAAATGTTTTGCTCAAAAAATTATGCCTTGCCCTGTTAAGTTTAGTGTAAAGTTGGTACAAATGACATGAAAAATTGATACCAGGCATCTTATCATGAGATGAAAATATTTATATTTTTACTAAATTATAACTTTAGCTGTATGGGGACAGCCTTCTTGCTCTACAGACATTTTGGGGTCAAAAGTAAGGCTGCCAGATACCCAGGGTCCAGCCAGGAGAGTGGCAGAGAAACCTTTCCTTATTGTTACAGGTATGATGCAAAATTCCATTTGGACACCCAGAGTTTCACAGGTCACTTAATACTTACCTATACATCAGCATGCCTCTATGGCTTCTAGTTACTGGCATTGTAAGGTGTCTTACCACCAGATTGTATCTGATCTTAGACTTATAGTTGGATTGTATTGATGTCACTTATGTTATAAGGTGCAATTTTCAAAAATATTTGAACACAGATTATTTTGATGAAAACATAAAAGTTTGGTCTTCTCAAATATTTTATTGTGATTGGATGTTTACAGTGACATAAGATACATTAAAGGAGATGCATATGATTTATGTTGTGATACTATTTGGTATGATACATTTGACAGGAAGCCAAGCAGGCAATGAGGTTACACAACAGTTAAGACAGCTGTCAGTATACCTGGCAAATCTGTTCTTCTTGACCTCAGATACTATGGCCCCTGTGATTAAGGATGAAGATTTAAAAGAAGAACAAGCAGGTAGGTAAAATTATTTTGTGAAATGGAAATATTGAAGGCTTTGTAACACGATCTTTAGTGACATTTATTTGCATTCATTGTCTTTGTAAGAAAGTGATGTATATGGTTTATGTGTATATATTGTTTAATGCTGTAATTTGTACACGATTTACATATCAAGTGGTTCTTATTCAATTTTCAGAAAAGCATAATTTAATCATCATTGGAAATCCAGATGAAAATAAATTTACCAAAGAGGCAATCAGTCATGTTCCAATTAGATTAATAGGTATGACCTGCAGTAAAATATTAAAGATTACTGAAGTCACTAGCTACATATGACATTTTGACTCTACATTTAATGATCAATTTTCACTGGAATATCTTTAGTCAAAATGACCAAATACTCTTGAGCAAAAAATAATAATATCATGCAAGCATACATGTTTAAAAATTGTTCTGATTGATCACAACAGACTAATTCTTCCATGCATCCCCATATGAGAAAAATTTAGTTTATTTATAAAACCCTACATTTTGTTTCAGAAGATGGTCTAAAGCTTGGGAGATGTTCTTTCCCTGTAAACCAGACGGGTGCTGTCTTTCTGTCCCCTCATGCAGGCAATCACTTAGCCTTGGTTATAATGGGTACCTCATCTCAAGGTTTACTGGATGCAATTAGTTTGGCCACACCAACTATACCACCTATGGCAAGATCACCCGTGAGTTCTCTGTTCACATATTATCTAAGAGTTATTATCAAAAAGCTATAAGCAATACACATGTAGTTCCATTTGAACTCTCGAATAGTACAATTGGGTATTTAAGAGAGCACAGTTCAATTTTATGTTCAGTCGAATGAGATACATTACCACTTTTCGCATGTGCTATTCAAATTCACAAAGATTATTTGTCACCATGTTCTTCAAAAGAGAAAACAACACAAGGCTGAACAACATTAGCTTTGACTATTTAAAATCCTTTGAACATTTCTAACTGACAGGGCTACAAAACTTGAAAATGATTTTTTTTTACCACACAGTAGAATTGAATGAGAGATGCAACTTAAAATGAGAGAACCGTTTTGTTGTGAAATACCACGAATGTGTCTCATCACTTGTTTCATTCCAGTTCTCAAATTTGGTCCCAGATTTTGTGTTAACTGGGAAGGATTATCAAGCCAAAGGACCAGGTGGTTACCTATGCACAGGATTCTGGGGAAACCAGTGGGAGTTCAGGCCAGAGTTAGTGTCTTGCACTTGTTAACTGATGATGACAAGGCTGTAGCTTTGGAAATTTCTCATTTTATCCAGGTTCTGCGTGTAATTTAACTGGTGTTGACACCAAGACCAATGCTATGTAATAGAACCATTACAAGTCAGTGGGGTGCATGTGATATAAAGGTGCGGGTCTTACCATGACACGTTCATGACTTACACCATTGGAAATTTACACGTGGCACCCACATCTGCAAGATACACCTTGTCATGTTTTGGACATCTGCCATAGTATAAAAGTACCAGTATCTGGATATCTGGATCAAAACATTTATTGGACTACAACAACAATACCGGTACAACAAAGGTCAGGTCAACTACGTACATGCATCTATGCAAACAGTTTTCGTGGTTGGTAATCATATGTAGCTTTAATCTTGCTAGAGGCAGTTAAGCATCAGTGTTGGAACATAAGTTGCACCTTTATGTTGCTCTTGATGGTTATGTTAATATGGTTCCTGAAGTACCTGATGCACCTTCTACTGACAAAACAATGTACAGTTTGCAAAATTCAAGATATTTTCAAGAGATACTTTCAATCTGCATTGCCCCCACCCCACCCCCCAGAGTTTTAAAATAAAGTATTTTTTGTCAAAGAATACGAATAAAAGAAAAAATGTGATGTACTTGACAATTTTCAGCTAATAAGCATTTATCATCCACTATTCTACCGTGTCTCGTTGGAAAAGAATCATATAAAATGCTAAACACTTTATATGTTTATTTAACTATCAACTTCACCTGCATAAATATGCAAACAATCAGATACAATGGTTCTCATTTAAAACTTTAACTTGATAAAACTTAAAATAAGCACTCTTTTTTTTTCATAAAATACATATTCTAATTATGTTAACTCAATAGTGATACATAATTTGTGCAAATAGTATATATATATACTGTTTATATATATTGTTGACATGAACTGATATCAAATATCATAATAAAATATAGACTTGAGAGTTATCTCCATACTGATCAGTAATACTATTTGTTACCAATTGTAAAAAAAATATTTTTTCCACTACATGTATATATCATTTTTTTTTAATCTTTGCTGGATCTAGTCAATTAAATAGCTAAATATAAAAATTAAATAAAAATCACCTTCACCTACTTATATTAACAAACACCCATATATTAACAAATATTAACAGAGTAATCAGAAAATGCTTCTGGTTCTTCGGTACTATATTCAAACAAGTGTAATACAATAAAATGTTGTGCTTGTTATTTCTGATGAAGGTGTTTGGGAAAATCTGTAAAGCAAGTTGGGTTCATGCTAAAGAGTGCCTTTATGAGGACTTAAAATGTATAAACCTGAGACAAACCCAGTGACTAGACAGTAGATGTGACAGAGATCAAACTAATGCTGAACTGGCAATCATCTGCCAATGACATCATATAAATAGCCCTGATATGGTATGAGTATAGAAGTGATGCATAGTCAATGTAAATATAATTTAGTTGAAGTCTAGGGAATGGCCTAATCTTATTTTTGTAATTTTTGAAAAAGTCTTGTTTGTGCTAACTGACTTTATAAAACAGTACAGACCATGACATAATATTTCTCAATAATTTCACACAAAATGCACAAAACACACCTGATAACAGCACCAAGGGTGCATTCCCAGAGATTTAGATTGATCCAGAAATTTAGATTTTGATCGACCTAACTCCCTGGGCGTCCACGCTAAATTGCAGTCAGCCCAGCGCGCACCATAGTTAATTACCCCTTTACAGCTTTTAGTAGGCGGGACAGAAGCTGACAGTAACCTAGTGAGACTCCCCACAGGGATAGATCGATCTAAAATCTATGGGAATGGGGTCCAACATTTAAAATTTTCTAAGTTTCATAAACACAGGTGAAAGGAATCATGGAATCCTTGGCATTGAAAGGCGTGCTCCTAGTGAATATTCTAAAGCACCTGTTTTCCAGCCACATAAACCTCTTGTATGTTTCTGTCATCACCTGAATTAAACAAAAAGAAGTGAACAAATCAACACTTGTTTCACTACAAACACTGTTAAACAGTCTAATCATTAAAGGCAACTTTAAAAATAATTGTTTTCTTCATAAACATTACATAAAATTTATCATTTCACCATAATATCTGATCATGGTATGAATCTTTAATACTTTGCTTAGAGTGAAAAGATGAATATTCTTAGTTTTAATACTAGTTTTAATAGCACTAGGGAATTCCATCCCATCCCCATCATTTTTGTATTCTTGGTCATCCTTGTAATCACACCACAATTAATAATTAATAAATAATAGATAGATAATAATTAATAGACTTGCCTAAAAACAGAAATTTCTGTATGATATCATCAGTTGAGTCCCTCTTGAAAATGTCAACAGGCCCCTCAACAACAGTGGTGTCCACCAATAGAGCATCGAATTCTTTTCCCACCTCAAAGTTGCCTGTCTTGTCTGACAGGCCCAAAACTGCAACAAAATATAATTTTTAATTAAATATATGAGTTAACTATAGAATATACTTTTTTTCTTAAATGTTTGAATATAAAAATCTTTCCTACTCAAAACTAAGAAGTAACAAATATATATCGATCGACTTGTCACAAAATTTCATAAATTACAGTAAGAAATTTGTGCTACTGTCAAGCATTTAAATGTAATCCTAATCAATCTAAACTTTAAATTTTTGCAAACCAAAGGGGATTCAGGATATGAAACATACAGTAGGCATGGACACTTACTCTAAATCTCCCACCACCAACCCACATCTCTTCAAATGTTTTTTTTTTTTTTTTTTTAATGAAAACAGTCAGGACAAAATAATGCAAATAATGTTCTACACATGCCCCCTCCCTACTATTTCAGGCAAAATCCTGATTCTGCCCATATAATAGAGTTCAATATCAGTCAGTTTATGCGGGCTGTATTTCTTGTAACAAATGTCTGGATAATTTTAGTCAAAACAATTTTCCAAACTCAATCAGTGAGGAACTCTAAGAAAGAACTATCCATTTTCTCTAGCTAAATTAAACTTCGTTGAGCATCTGGAGACAACTTATTATGCTACAGTGGGCCTAGTCTGAACTAGTGGAGTACCTTCACTTCCCCCTAGAGTGGCCAATTTAAAAGCTTCACGGTGACTCAAGCTCTTGTAATCAGTATGCATGTCAAGGCTGATGACATTGGAGACTTGGACGGCTGTGCGTATTGCATCTAGCATGGATGGGTGGTAGCCACCAGAAACATCTGGAAAAAAATTGAGTAGGAACCAAAGTTTGAACTGACAAACATGGAAAATGAAATGCATTTCATCTGAAAAATAGTCTTATTGAGTATCTAAAGGTCGCATTGATCTATTACTATATCTGATCTAACATATTTCTTTTATTTAATTAATTACTTTCTGATTCGAATGATTTTGAATTTCAGGTGACTGTCACGTATCATTTTCTGATTTCAATCACTTCACATGCTATACATCTGATCAAGTATAAAATGTCTGAATGGCATCTAATTAACAATGCAATATTTTAATTCTTACCAACAATCAAACAATTTACAGAAAAAAAAACATTAACTGAAAAACATCATTTCTTACGGAGAAAACAAATTGAACAACAATATCACATAGCATAGTACCACTGTTATACACTATGTTAGAACAATTGCATTTTTTATAAAAACCAAAAATAAACAAGCTGAACTATTGGGATAGAGCATTTCATAAGAGTGCAATCTGATCCTCATGCATGGTTCTGTGTCTAAAATCTAACATAATAAATCTTCTCTATACAGAGTACACTATTGGTCTATGCTAATATAGAGGATGGAGTGTTACTTGTCCAACTGAAAATAATCTTTTAGAGAGCATTCAGAACAAGTTGATCCATGGACGAAGAGATCTGCAGACTAAACATGGCTGACCCACTAAAAAGCAATGCCACCAATCCCCCGATGGTCTCCCCGCCTCCACACGCACCATTAAGCGGATTTAGTTGGAGAATCTTTTCTGAATGCACTCCTAAAGTTTGTGGCTTAAAAAACTTTCAGTGCCAGCACTACATCATGAAAACTGCAGTTGAACTTTTTTCTACCTCAGGTAAAGAAGTCAGTTCAAAACTGAACTGCAATAATTTATACTCACTGTCTGCATTTTTTTCTGCAGGGTCATCAAGACACGAAAAGGCCAAGGCCAGTAGGTGATGCAGTCAGTCAAAACTTTACTGCAATCATTCAGAACTTGACATTTCTGCATAACTAAGCTGCCATCTATGTATAATGTATAATGTATAACTCTATCAACTTCATTGCCCTGCTCAGTATGAGCTAGCAAACTACAGGTTATAAACTTAAAGATGCAGGGAATTTAAATTCACCCTGCTAAAAAAAAAATGACTACCTGTGCCTAGACCAAGTTTCACCCCCATGTCCAAAACTCTTCTTGCATCCATCATGCCACTACGCAGGCTGAAAAGCAAGTAGCATGCAAACAATTGATAGACTAGAGTAATTAAATGGGACTACATATCAGACATATTAATCATAGCATAATGTAAAGCTTTACTTTGGCAGTGGCAGATCCAGGGAAGGAGCAGTGACATTTTGATAGACCAAAACATAGTGGATCACATAACGTTACCAAGTTTTCCTCATGACTTTTTTTTCTTAGGGGGCAAAGGCACATGTAATTTATGCACTATTATAACAGTGACAGTGTTCAGTAAAGGTCTTGCTTAAGCAGAGCTGAAAGCAGAGCTGTGTACCGTGCCAGTCTGAATGACCTAACAGACACGATTTTTAAAAAAGATTAAATTCTGTTTGAGTGTCAGAGGATATTTCATTCAGAAATTCATAAAATAAATTGTACACAAAGGTTTTAGCAACTTCATTTAGTTATTTGCAAAGATAAAAAAAATCTGTCAGTGACACTTTTTAACCATTTTTGTAGAAATCTTTCATTGTTTACACAGACTACTGTGAAAATAAGGCCGCATTCACAACCAAAGTTGATCCGTGGACTAACAGATCTGCAGATCAAATATGGCTGACCCACTTGAAAGCTTGACCTATTCAGTCTTTTAGGGGATTATGTGGCAGGTTTCCAAGTGGTTCAGCCATATTTGATCTGCAGATCTGTTTAGATCAACTTGTTCTGAATGTGGCCTAAAACTGCAGCTCAGTGGAATGAAAAATACTCAGTAGTGATTGGTTTGGACCTGGTGTTATGACTGATAGCTGACGATAGGTTAATTTCTGAAATTACTACTAAGCTTCCCCATAAACAAATAAACAATTACAAACAGTATAGCAAACAATACAAAAAAGGAAGATTATGATGAAAGAGCACATTATTCCCATGAAATTTTTATCCTTGTGAATCCCTTACCAAATTCCTGGATCTGTCAATGCTTCTGGGCATTGCTGTATTCGTATCAGGCAAGATCAACCCCACACATACTGTATGAAATTATATATTTTATTTGAAAATTGGGTTCTAGATGCCAGTTAAAACCCTTGTATGGATTCCATTATTAGGTCAATTATTATTAATGGGTAGAAAATTAGGCAATCAGTCAAAATTATCCAGCCATTATGACTTTACCTGCATTGATACAGCAATGCTGTGACATATACCCTGTACATTGTATACAACAAGTAAATATAATGAACTAGGGAAGAGAGGGCAAAAGGACTCGGGTCTGATATCAATATTAGTAGAAAGGTCTTGTAATTGCCTAAGTGCAGTATTTCATATATCATATATATTTAAGAAGCTTGACACTCATGAACATGCCACATAATGAATGATATATATATAAATATATATATATATATATAGCTAAGCAAACCAATCACACACAAAATTACAGATGTCATATACACAACATTATAGCATTTTATACCACTCACTCATTCATTCATTTAGATACCATTTTATTTTTCTACTTTATTCATTTATTTATTGCTTTCCATTGGTTTACCTTGCCTTACCTGAGGTTTGAGTTTGGGCAATGTGAAATTCCTGTGCCTGTAGATTTAAAAAGTTTAAGCTCTTCATCTGACAGGTAAACTCCATGGGCCATCACCGTCTAAAAAGTCAAATAGTCTGTCAGTATCGTAACAATTTTACAGTCTTAAAATATCCTTAATTCAAGATCGACAACAATATGACAACATTATGTTTTATTTGTGTTTAGCCTATATATATATATATATATATACCATTAGTGTTTGTTGGACTCTCTGAAATATACCCTGAAGAGCTATCAGTTTCATTTAACAGACAATTTGTTATCAACTGTTCAAGATCATCCAACATTTTTGGCTGCCAGCTGTCCTTAGATGGCAGTCATGCAATCACATGATTTCAAATAGCCTGTAGACCTTGATGTATCAGTTTCACTTCACAGGTGCTTTGCAGTCAACCATTCAAGGTAGTGTACTTTTAACTCCCTGCCCTAGTTTACACTGAAAGAATGATCCATGCTTTGCAGTGAACCATTGAAGCATGTCCACTTTTTAGTACTTATCATACACTGATCATGTGTTGGCAGCAAAGCCTACATTGTACATGTTGGTTCACTTGAGGGAGTAAATATAAGGCAGGTCTTGGGATCTGAAGGGTAGAAGGTAGTGAATAGTGTGTGGAGTTGTAAAAGATTCTCTGAGTCACAAACTGTTAATGAATGGATGGATGGATGAATGAAACG